TTGTGCCTTAAGAATATTATAACAGGAAAAATAAAGAGAGAACAACAAACCTGAAGAGGAGGGATAACATAATTCTGTGATCAACAAATAAAAATGCTTGCTCAAGGTCATAATAAATGGCGGGAAATAAATCCATTTTATTCTCAATTTACCCCAGGATAAAAAATACAGCTACACATGATGTTGATAAAGTGCCAGTACTCAACACAATCACGTCGCGGTCATCATGCCGGAAAAGTGATGAGTTAAAATCTCTGCCAATGCTGTTATTTTCATTTTTTGCTCAAATACCCTTGGGAAAGTTATGACTCAAAATAGCAAAGTAGACTCAATAGTGTAGCATTTGGTGGCAACCAGTTTAAGAGAACGAAAACTCTGAATTTCTAAAAGCCGCACAGGAGACAACGGGAAGGCATTGAACGATATTTTCGAAGAATGCACACTAATTTACATTTTTTTTTTTTTTAGCATTACGCCCCGAGCAAGGCGGGAAGCCACTAAGATGCAGGGAGTTGTAGAAGATTTGGAGCAAGAGCAGATAGGAGTGATAGAAGAAAGGAGGAAGCGAATGATAGTAGATAGATCAAGGCAACTGGACATGTCGATTGACATTACATTTGAATAGTTGAAGATTATAGCTCTCAGAGAAACAGTAATAGGGAAGGGTGTTCCACAGGCGAGAGGTGCGAAGTATGAAGCTATTGGAGTAGAAGAGACGGTTACATTTAAAAGTTTCTACAGTGAAAGAGTGAGAGCGGGATGCCAGCCTCGTAGGGCGCTTGAATTCATGGAGTCTGGGAACCAGTGAAAGCAGCTCATCGGAGCAATTACCATGAAAGTATTTGTAATAAAAGACAGAGAGAGGCTACGGCGCGTCTGTGAGAGAGGCGACTGTAGACGAGATGCCAGATCAGGGCCAATTATATTACATATCCGCCTCTGGATCTTGTCAAGAACTCCGAGGTAAACAGAAGGTGCACCAGACCATATATGGCAGCAATACTCCATGCAAGGGCGAATGGTTGATTTGTATAGAAAGAAAGAAAGAAAGAAAGAAAGAAAGAAAGAAAGAAAGAAAGAAAGAACTGAAAGGACTATGCCAGATAGACATATAGATAGTAATAGAAAGAAAGAAAGAAAGAAAGAAAGGACTGAAAGGACTATGCTAGATAGACAGATAGATAAATAGATAGATAGTAATAGAAAGAAAGAAAGAAAGGACTGAAAGGACTATGCCAGATAGACATATAGATAAATAGATAGTAATAGAAAGAAAGGAAAAGAAATAGACATAGGACTAGATAAATAGATAAGGACTGAAAGGACTAAAGAAAGAGATAGGACATATAGATAAATAGATAGTAATAGAAAGAAAGAAAGAAAGAAAGAAAGAAAGAAGGGACTGAAAGGACTATGCTAGATAGACAGATAGATAAATAGATAGATAGTAATGGAAAGAAAGAAAGAAAGAAAGAAAGAAAGAAAGAAGAGATCTATATGAGCCTAGCTCCCGAACAGACGTTATTTACTAGACCCCCATCTAAGGCAGGAAGTGACACAAGATCCTTTTTTATGTGGCGGTGGAGGGTATACGTGTACATATGTGTCAAGGACAAATTATTACACAGTCCCTGTTACCATTGTTAAACTGGCGTCGATATTACAGCGACCGACCTCACTAAGAACAACGGTGGAAGTACTCCGGGCGGCTTGGAATCCCGGGGCCCAGACGCCCATACGCATGTTTTTTTCGTTGACAACGCAATGTGGAAGTTTCTGTCTCAGAATTGGAATATCTGGGACCAGGTGCCTTCTCAATCCTAAAATGAGGAGAACAGATACCACACGTTGATCCTGGTAAAAAGACTGAAATCCGAAAGGATAGTTATCCTGACCTCTTATTAAGTCGTTTGTTTATATCGGGTACTCATAGGCATGGTTTTATATTGACAAAGCAATGAGGAAGGTGCTGCCACAGGTTTGAGATCTCCGAAGCCGAATACTATTTAAAATAAGGCGAGAACAACTACCCTGCGTTGGTCTCAGCCAAAAGTCGGAGGATATGTTTCAGCGTGCCCACGTCGCTACCGAATGGGACACAAGGTTGAGAATTAAAGTGGGCTTAACGGCAATACCGGACAAAAATTGCCCAAGCCCCCTCGACACTTCCCCTTTTGGGGTACCTCAGCCGCCGGACAATAAACCCTGCCCCCTCCAAAATGAGTGTTACTGCCCGGTGGGAAGCACCTCCGGTTTAAAATTATTTGAACCTCCTAAGCCAAAAGACCCAGAACCGAACGGATATAGTATAAAAAACACATTTTTTATATTTGATTAATTGATTATTTTAGCAATATCCTAAGCCAGTGCCGTCCTGGGTATGATGACAAACTACATCCGCGTCCTGGGTATGACGATAAACTACGTCCGCGTCCTGGGTAAGACGATAAACTACGTCCAACAGCAAGGGGTTTATTAGGAGCCTGGAACCAACTCTTAATTGCTGGTATTCCCAGGTCCACCCTGACCCGGAGTGGTAGCACCTGTTAGGGTCCCAGCTATGGGTAAATAGTTAACACCCAGACTACATCCGCGTCCTGGGTAGGACGATAAACTACATCCGCGTCCTGGGTATGACGATAAACTCCATCCGCGTCATGGGTATGACGATAAACTACATCTGCGTCCTGGGTAAGACGATAAACTACATCTGCGTCCTGGGTAAGACGATAAACTCCATCCGCGTCCTGGGTATGACGATAAACTACATCTGCGTCCTGGGTAAGACGATAAACTACATCCGCGTCCTGGGTATGATGATAAACTACATCTGCGTTCCGGTTAAGACGATAAACTACGTCCAAAAGCACGGCCTCTGATAATACGTTTTTGAAAGCATAATGTTGCCAGTTGTAAGGTTTTAGAAAAAATAATAATGTTTTTTTATATTATATACGTTTTTTGAAAAAATAATATTAGCAGCTATACGTTTTTTTAAAAAAAAATATTACCAGCTATTCGTTTTTGAAAAAATAAGATTACCAGCTATACATTTTTGAGGAAAAAATATTAACAGAAATAGATTTTTGATAAAACAAAAATATTACCAGGAAAAAAAAAGTTGTCGGCATTAAATGACCCGTTGAGGTGTTGATATGCCGTAAACCAAACCAAACCAAACAAAACCTAAGCCAGTGGTCCTCAAACAATGAGACGCGCCTTATAAGTGCGGTGGAAGAAGATAGCAGGTGAGGCAGAATGATTGAAAGACAATCAATAATTTAGAAACAGTTTAAAAAATCATATGCCAAAAAATAAATATGATTTCAAAATTTAAAATATTATTATGGATTACTTGCAATTGCACGCATGATTCACAATATAAATATTTATAATTATTGACTGATTTTATCATTGTGATACTTTTTACATTATAGCAAGTTGTAAGCGTTCTGAAAGCAAAGGAAATGTTTGTCGCAGATTACTTCCACAACGGAGAGAACAAATCACTTTAAGTTCAGACTCGAATATCGGAGGCAGACAGAAATGGCGAAAATTCGATTCGCAGGTACTATCTCACAAATCACAATGCACGTAACCAGTCAGAAAAATGACTCACTCACCGACGAACGCGGTAGCCAAAATACACGAATTTTTCTCTCCCGATTCCAGAACACCAACTGCTTTTATCGGCCGACCATTTTTTCCATTCTTCGACAACTGGGAGAGGACGACCAATTTTTGCATATCAAATACTTTTTATAGCGACTCCTGTGACGGACTTTTTAATTAAATTCAGCATGTCATACAGAATACGTTCACTTTTTGGTAAGTAATTTTTTTTCTCCGTCGTAGGATATACGCGACGCGCAGTCGCTTGGTTTGACGAGATACGTTGCCGTTTTCTTCGCTATACAAGTCTAAAGAATATAGTAACTAGGGTCCGCAAATTGGAGAAGAGAGTTATCAATGTTCTGACGTCGAATCCACTGTTATCTCCATTTAATACTCTGTCTTTTTTATTTTTGTTTTTAAATGTACTTTTTATCACATAAAATTTGGTGAGGCACAAGCAAATTTTCATTCTGAAAATGCGGCCCAGATGAAAAAAGTTTGGGAACCACTGTCCTAAGCTGTTATTAACAGTAATTATATTTCTCTCTTTAGATGTCCTCCACACATGTCCATATCGATTAATCTGTATTTTTTTCCGCAAGGTTTTTTTTCTTTATTGTAGAAAAATCACGTGGTCGAGATAAACACTTAGTTGTGGAGCAAGCTAAGTGAATAATTCAACCTTGAGAAAGAGAGCTATTTATGGTGCCATGGAGCATTTCATTGTGCTAAAGTGGGATAGTCCATTGCTTGGGCTGTGATTGGTTGCTGGTACCTGAGTGGAGGTATTTCTATATAAATACCAGCTTGATTCATCAGTTAGTTTGCAGGGTTTGTATTAAGTTACAACCTGCTTTATTTTTGTCTGCCAGCTGGACGCTAGCTGGGACCCTTACGCCGGTAAGTGCTGTTTATTGTATTGTTATTCTACATTTATATTTTGGATTCTAGCTTTCGTTAATTAGTGATATTCTTTTTTCTATCATCATTTTATTTCTCTGTATTTATTGAAATAGTTTGATCCTAAATTCAATGTAGAGTCATATACGACAACTAGCCAATCTCATGCCATGAAGGGGTTGAAGCCATGAGAGCCACCTTACACCTCTAGGTCTCACGGTCTTGGAAGAGCTTCGGAAAATCCTCCAACCCTAGGTTATTCTACTGTAAGTCCTGGCGGGCGACATTCTTCCAGCGCCTGCTTGATCTGCCTCGAGGTCGCCGGTCATATCACAACAGAACACACAACTATCAATAATCTGTATAGTGCTCTTGTCTCATGGACGTCTGTTACAAAGGAAACAGACGTCCGTTTTCATTATTTTCGCTTTAATTCCATTTGATATTTCTGCTACCGTGTATACGAAAGATCTTGGGCAACCATCATGCAACTATTCAAACCTCTGACTTCTCCACTAAACAGTTACCTCACCACCGACCCATCCTACTGCCACAGTGGCCCGACCGTCATCCCCTAATATATCAAATCTTTCCAGACCCCGAGCCTTTACATTTTTTTTTTCAGAACATAGACTCCTTTTGTTTCTTCTTTTCTTTGCAGGTACTTGAGTACACTCACGCTGGTGATTTTCATATGTTTGACTTGGCCAGGGCCTCTCTTACTTGCTTCCGGTTCGAGGCTTTTGGTCTTTGGCAGCGAGACGGGGAGGTACTCCACATCTGTCGCTCGTCTCTCAGCTTAGTCAGGTCGCTGACAAATGGCTATAAACAAACATCGCGCGCCACTCGTTTTTTCTTCTCTATTCCGATTTTGTTGTTTTTTTTTTTTTATATCTTTTTACAGCGAGCCGACGACTTCGTAATCACAGCGCATACTTCCCTCGGTCTTTCTACAATCGACACTCTCTGTCAGAACAGTTGTGACGCCCTTTTTTTCTAAGACAGCGTTGTTTGTAAATGAAAGGAAGCAAGTGGATTATGTCTGTCTGGGTTCCCATATTTCAGCTTACACTCACTTTTCGCGTCTTGTTCCTCTCGAGATTTTTTTTTCTATTCTTCTTAAATTTCACATATCTTTCATCTTCCTCTCACTTCTTTGTTTTTTCTTCTTTTTCTTTTAGTATTTTTTCCTTTTTTATTTCTTTCTTAGCGTCTTTTATTCTTTTTTCATCGTTTCTTCTGAAAACATGAAGAATAATACTTCATGTTTTCTTTCTTCCTTTTCTCTCCTTTTTTTATATTCTTCTTCTTTCTTTCACTTCTTTTTTTTTCTTTTAGTATTTTTCTTCTTTTTTCTAGTATCCTTACTCGTCATATCTTTTTTCGTTCCCCTCACAAATTTTCTTTCTTTTTCTTTCTTTACTTTTCTTTCTTTCTTTCCTTTTCTGTCTTTCTTTCTTTTCTTTCTTTTTTCTTTCTTTTTCTTTCTTTCTTTCTTTCTTTCCTTTTCTTTTTTTCTATCTTTCCTTTTCTTTCTTTCTTTCTTTCTTCTTCTTGTACCATTGTTCTTTTCATCGTCACTTCTTTTTTGAACTTCCCACGTCTTTCTTCTAAGCTTAATATTTTCTTCTTCCCCTTCAACTATCATTCTTCCTTGTTGTTTCTTTCATTTTCCACTTTCTTTCTTTTCCTTCTTAACTTTCTCTTTTCTTCATGTCCTCTTCTTGTTTCCTTTCTCATTATTCAGATTTTCCCGTTTTCCTTCTGATCATTTTTTTTCATTTTAAATCTCCACTTAATTTTCTCCCTCTTCAGGATTCTTTTTCCTTCCTTATATATTTCTTATTGCTCTTAGAAAAAGAGCAATAAGAAATATATTTCATTCTCTCTCTCTCTCTCTCTCTGAGGTTTACATTTTCTTTTTTCTTTCCATATCTCATTCTTTTCTTCCTCCTCGTTCCTCTTCTTCATCTTCTATCTTTTTTTTCTTCACATATTTTTATTTTCTTCCTCGTTACTTCTTCGTTTCTCTCTTTAACACTTCCTGTCCTTCTAGAATTTGCATCATCGTCATCATCATCAGCAGCCTCTTCTTCTTCTTCTTCATGATCATGATCATGATCATCATCATCAACATCATCATCATCTTCTAAACCAATGAGCCCCCCAACGTCGGGCGCAAGCCCCACCGGTGGGTTATGGCAATAATTTGATGGGGCATGCGTAGAATGTGCACCCTTCGACTTACTATACCAACAGAATAAGGGGGCAATTCGAGAATGAGTTATTAACAGTGAATTGTTTTCTAGTGAGTCTGAGTGAGAGTGTTAATGTGTGTTAATACATATGATGCATATACAGTATGCATACATAAAAATATTTTGTGTGTATGTATGTACATGTGTAATTAGCATACATATAAGAATTAAATATTACAGGTGGGGACATCAAAATTTTACAAGTACCAAAGTGGAGCATAACCCACAATCGGTTGGGAACCAATGTACAATGGCAAAGGTACACAGGTGTAGGCTTTAAGAAAGATTTATTCAACTGAGAATACAAAGTTCGCGTATATTTTATAGTCCCAGTAAACAGAAATAGCTCTCTCAAAGAGAAGAGTAACAAAACAAGGGGAGACCACTCTTGATTTTTCAAAATACACTGTTCTAGACTTTTTCCCTCTTTATATCTTCACTTCTTCTTTCCCTCTTTTACTGAGACCTCATCATTATTTATGTTAAACATTTGGTCACAAGCATTACTTCCCATTCATCGTTTTCTTCGTTATAATTTCCGCCATTTTCAATCTTTTTTATTTATTCTCATCTTTGTACGATTGAACTTTTTTTTTAATGTTGTTCACCCAATAAAAAGCCCAAAGCGTTATTCTTTCTTTTCTATTTTTTCCATGTACGTTTTTTTTTCTTTCTTTCTAATATTTTCCTTTCTCTCCTTCTTTCTTACACACATCTTTTCTTTCTTTTCATTGTTCCTTCTTTCTTTCTTTCTTTCTTTCTTTCTTTCTTTTTTCTTTCTTTCTTTCTTTCTTTCTTTCTTTCTTATATTTCCTTTCTCCTCTCCTTTTTCTTTCCTTTTCTTACTTGTACACATCTTTCTTTTTTTCTTTCTTTCTTTCTTTCTTTCTTTCTTTCTTTCTTTCTTTCTTTCTTTCTACTGAATGAGGTTGTTGAAAATAAATAACAGTTGACACGCACACGAAGAATATTGTGAAATTGCACATTGAACTCATCACTAGAAAATGAGCTCGTTAACCATTGCACTCCGTACTTTATGACGTTAAAGCTTTTTTTTTTCTTTTTTTTTGTTTTGTTTTGTTTCTTTGACATTTATTTGTTTGTTATCTTTTTTTTTTCTTTTTTTGTCGGCAATTTCTTTATTTTTCTTTCTCCCCACCCCGCAACATACTGTTTTTTTTTTCTTTGGTTCTTTATACGTTTCTTTCTTCTTTCCTTCATGTTTTTTTTTTCTTAGAGTGATGGTGTGATGTTGAAAGACCTGAAAGATTTCAATGAACCAAAGAAAAACGTCATTGATGACGTAATCCGGCGAATGTTTACGGTATATGCTGAGAGACCCGGTCACTTCGACAGGGCGTAATGTTTTAGCAAGTTGGACGGGCAAGATCAATAACGGCTGAGTAGTGAGTTCGATTCTCGCTGTATGCTTCATACTCTCGGCCTTGTGCTGCATCTAAGCTACGCCTATAAAATAACTAAACTGAGAAAGTAGTTTCTTATGCATATATTTCTTTAATTTCCATTCTTTTCTTTATACCTGCTGCCTTTCTTTCTTGCTCGTATTTTGCTTGTTTCTTTCTTTTTTTCTTTGCACGTACCTTTCTTTCTTTCTTTCTTTCTAATATTTTCTTTTCTCCCTTTCTTTCTTGCACACATCTTTCTTTATTTTTCATTATTCCCTTTTTCTTTCTTTCTTTCTTTCTTTCTTTCTTTCTTTTCCTTTCTTTCTTATATTTCTTTTCTTCTCTAATTTCTTTCTTTTCCTTTTCTTTCATCTCTTTCCCTTCTTTCTTTATTTCTTTCTTTATGCTATCTTTCTTCCTTGCTCGTACTTTTTGCATTTTGCTCTTTCTTGCAATCCCCTTTTTTATCTTTCTTTCCTTCTGTCTTTCTGTCCTTCTTCCTCTCTTTCTTTCTTTTTTTCTTTCTTTTTTTTCTGTCTGTATGTCTGTCTTTTTCCTAACTTCCTTTTAACTCTTTTCTTTCTTTTTAACTTCTTTTCATTTTCTAATTTCCTTTTATCTTTTTATCTTTCTTTTTATCTTTTTATAATATATCTTTTTTTTTTGTATTTTTTTCTTTTAAACCTGTACATTTAAATATTTTACTTTCTTATCATTTTTTGTTGTATTTTTTTCATATTTACTCCTTTTACCTTTTTTTATATTTTCTTTTTCTCTCCTCGTTCATTCCTTTTGATCTTTCATTTTTTTTTCTCATTCGATTTTTCTCTTTCTTTTGTGTTTCTTCATATCTTTTTTCTATCTTTCTATGTCTAAGTTTCTATCTTCCTGTCTTTCATTTTTCTGTCTTTTTTTCTTTCAGTTTTTCCGTCTTTCTGTCTGTCTTTTTTCTTTCTGTCTTTCTTTCCTTTCTGTCTTTCTTTCTTTCTGTCTTCCGTTCTTCCTTTCAGTCATTCTGTTTTTTCCTTTTTTTTTCTGTCTTTCTTTCCTTTCTATCTTTCTTTCTTTCTTCCTCTCTTTCTTTTCTTTTCTTCTTTCTCTTAGTCTCTCTGTCTTTCTTTCCTTTCTATCTTTCTTTCTTTCTTCCTCTCTTTCTTTTCTTCTTTCTCTTAGTCTTTCTGTCTTTCTTTCTTTTTGCCGTTCTTCCCTTCTCTCTGTCTTTCTTTCCTTTCTGTCTTTCTTTCAGTCATTCTGTTTTTTTCTCTTTTTTTCTGCTTTTCTTTCCTTTCTATCTTTCTTACTTTCTTCCTCTTTTTCTTTCTTTTCTTCTTTCTCTTAGTCTTTCTGTCTTTCTTTCCTTTCTATCTTTCTTTCTTTCTTCCTCTCTTTCTTTCTTTTCTTCTTTCTCTTAGTCTTTCTTTCTTTTTGCCGTTCTTCCCTTCTCTCTTTCTGCCTGTCTTTCTTTCTTTTTGTCTTTCTTTATTTCTTATCAGTTTATATTCTTTTCCCTTTCATATATTTTCCTTTTCTCTCGTCGTTCTTTCTGATCTTTCTTTTTTTTTCCCTTTCATTTCTCTTTCTTCTTTTCTTTTTTCTCCATTTCTTTTCTTTCCTCTTTTTCATTTCATTCCTATTTACTTTACTCGCTTACTTGCATGACCATCTCAGAGCGTCGGAATTCATTTATCTTACATTCACCCAACTTTGTGATGAAAGACTCAAACGTTTTGATAAGAGGCTCAAAGTAAACATATAAAGCTCACTCAAATCACCTCAGAATTATAAGATTTGTTCACGTCAGTTGAGAGAGCGCTACAATTATTGATTGGCTCCATTCCACAACGCATGCGTAGACTTACATTCCTGGCTTCTGAAAGGCTCTATATATTATAATCCTCCATGTTACAGCCTCCTGTGTTCAGTGTGGCTATCTGGGATTTGCCACCTTACGTCACCTTTCTCACAAATAAAACATAGCTTAACGCTATTCTGTCCTTACTTTCATGGCAAATGTTCCGAGCATATTCATTCTTCAGATCCATCACTACAGACCTTCGCAACTAGCATCCATAATGAGATGTACACAGGTTCGAACCAACCTCACTCCCCTTTCGTATTTTTTATTGAAATTATTTAAACGTGGACTTTTGCCCTCGTCTTTGTTGAGGTTATCAGAATATTTTCGCCTATCGTGATCTCTAACGCTGGGATCCACTCGTTTATTTCCGACGGGATGGATTCAAGCAGACAGGGGCATGTAGAGGGCCGTGTGCTTTGTACGCGTTGTGCGATGAACACGTTTATCTCCTGAAATAGGACCCACAACAAATATAGCAGACTTGCAATGAGTCCACCCAATAGAAATGTAAAAGAAAACAAGAAACGATACATGTATATGTGTATGTGTATATATATATATATATAGAGAGAGAGAGTTATATATGTGTGTGTATATATATATATATATATATATATTTATTTAGTTATATAAATATATATATATATATATATATATATATTATTATTTTATAAAAATTATAACATATATAAAATCACTAAAAAAATCCATTTTTTCAACAGGACTCTGTGTCTTATCAAGTTTTGATTTTTGAAAAGAAAATAAATGGTTTTAAAAGTTTCAGATTAATCAACATCCTACACTGAAACATTGTTAAAAGCTTTATTTTATTTTCAAAATCCCTTTTTTTTTGTAAGACACAGTAGTTTTTTGATTGGTTATTCTAAATTTTGTAAATATTTTTAATGATTTTATAACATAAGGCCATGTTATAATTTAAATAAAAATAATTATATCTACTCTACTGTATTGATCACTCTTTTAAGAATAGTAATTGTTGGTTATTGAATTCATTCCGTATATACCAATTATATACTTTTAATATATATATATATATATATATATATATATATATTATATATATATATATATATATATATATATATATATATATATATATATATTATATTTAGTTGATTGATGTTTTTGTGGAACTGGATTTCACGCTATTTGCGAAATAATTTTTAAACTCTTTTTGTCTGACGATCGCAAATAGCGTGAACCTCAGTGTCACAAACTCACATCAATCCAACTAAATATGTTAGCTCTACCACTAATATTGAGCGCTTTCCAATAAGTACCGCGCATACATAATATATAAATAATATATATATATAAATTGCATATATATTGTTGAAGCTTAAATAAGCATGGAATAATACAACACAAAATGTACGTTAACCAAATGTATTGAAACAAAGAATAGGTACACAATATTTACAGTTAGTTTGGTATATTCTTGGGAAGACTGTTCCTGCATAATGGGTTGACTAAATCGCAGTCGGGCAGAGTCTCTGGATTCAATTTCTTAATCTCTACTATCTTCCCCGTCTTCCGGTACCAACCCATATTTATATGGTCGGTAGTCCGCTTATGTAAATTAGGTGTATCATACACAACATATATATATATATATATATATACATACATACATATTTTACACACACACACACACATATATATATATATATATATATATATATATATATATATGCAAACAACTATATGTATATTAACAACAAAAGGGTTTACAAAAGACATTAATGTCTATGTGTGGGAAGTTTGTGTTTCAAAGTAAGTGTGAGTAAATGATAATGTTCGTACGTACGTGTGTTTATGTGGGCGGTGTAATATTTATGCATGCCCCACAAGGGGCACCGCTTTCTTCTGCAAGAGTATACATTGTCTTAGTGTCCGCTGGAAATGAAAAGTGAAAGAGAGGACAAGGCTGGATCTCGTCAAGTATATATAGTGTTGGGGCAACGTCCCCTAGGAACAATTTCAAAATTAAGGAAGAGATAAACTCCGATAGACAAAGTGGTCACATGCGGTCCGTTTGGCTTTCTGAAATCACGCCTATTTTCATGAAGAAATTAACTTAAGTTTTGGTTTGTTTCCTTTCCTTCTCACTTGTTCACTCACACACTCTCACACACATAACCCCATCCATAAACATTGATTATGTGCAATGTTTCTTGAATTTTTAAACTTTCGTAGAAGGTAACGTTTTCATTATGTTAAGCCATTAGCTATTTTTACTAAGGAAGATCCGGCGTGTAAATATCTTACTTTTTCTCTGGAGAAGAAATATATAATTTTATTTATTTTTCATTTTTTTTTTTCAAGTGTTTAGATGAGAAATTAATCACACGAAGCAGCGTGTGTTAATCACACTGTCATATGTTTTAATAGTATACCAAGACTTCACTTTTGAACTATAAAAACTCAAAAGAAATTCCCCATTTCTAAAGTAGATGCTTACGCACTTCCGTAATAAAAATGGCTAAGGCACATTGAACGAAAAATTACCTTGAATCTTTTTACTAGTGCATCTCGACTCATGATGAGCAATATCTCACGCGGCCTACTTGTAGGTAAAGGATGCGTCGGTGATTCGGCGTGGCCGATTTGGCGTGGCCGATTTGGCGTGGCAGATTTGGCGTGGCTGATTTGGTGTCTGTGATTCGGCGTGGCAAATTAGGCGTCGGTGATTCGGCGCAGCAAATTTGGCATCGGCTAGTCGGTGTGGCCGATTCGGCGTGGCCGATTCGGCGTCGGTGATTCTCCATGATAGGAATTTTTCGGTAGAGGAAGGATAAGATGACAGATTACCACTTCGTCGTTATAGCAAAATTTGTTTCTCTCTCCCTCCCTCTCTCTCTCTCTCTCTCTCTGTCTCTCTGTCTCTCTCTGTCTCTCTCTCTCTCTCGTTTTATTGTCAAATTAGTACTTCGTCGTTATATGCTCGAACAGTCTGATTTAAGAAAAAGACTAGTTGGAGGTATTTTTATATTATATTTCCTTGAGTGCAGCTTCATATTTTTCAGTCGTCAAAGCCATTTTATTCCAAAATGGAAGCAAATATTTTATCAAAACCTGGAAGAAACAAAGTGATACACGATGACAACCTTTTTATTTTTGATGCAACGAACAAGAAGGATCCTGAATTAAAGATTTGGCAATGTGAACAGAAAGATCGATGTAAAGTGAGATTACATATGAAGGATGGAAAAATGATTCGCCAGTTGAATGAACACACCCATGAAGCATCTGCTGCAAAAATAGAGGTTGAAAAGATAAAAACATCTGTTAAGAAAAGAAGAATTATTAAACAAGGCACCAGCTAACTCAACAGATTTGAAGCATTTAGTCACACCTAAGTTCCTATACATTATATGTTCGGTAAAAGACAATGACTTTGATAGAGTCTGACGTCTAAACGGCTGTGCCGAATAGTCCAATTATTTTTCTGACGCTGCATCAGCCACGCCAAATGGGTTACGCCGAAACTCCTAAATACAAGGTCTTTAAACAAAAAATAGAGACATGTCATAATAAATCATTACATCTTAAATTAACAGTGCTTTGCGGCCATTTTTAACATCAGCCTGATTATAATAACACATTCAACATTATGAATAAAAATGTAAATTTTAATTAGAGTTTTTTTTTCGTGGGGGGGCTTAACATGACGAATTTTGGCGGGAAAAAAACAGAATGAGGTCAAAATCCGTCAAAAATGTGTCATTCTTTAATACCCAGTTGTGTTTAGTTTAAATTGTAACGTATATAAACGCAGGTAGAAAAAAAATCTAATTTTGATTAGATAGCGAGGGTCACAAAACACTGCTCGGGGGCCCCAGCCAGGCTTGCTCTCCCCCTCGGTAGTGGGGTTCGGGGGTTGTACGCGCTGGATCTGATGTCAACTCCACTTCTCTGAAATTCAGACAGAAATTTTCGTATTGCATTGGTAAGAAGTAAGTTCCAATCAAACAGCTTTTGGCAAAGAAATGTTCCTTTGTGGAACTGATTCTTGAAAGGATGTTCCTCCGACCACTGATTCTCTTCACGTCTAAGGTCAACCGTTTTTTATCTTACATATAATATGCATTTATTGCTACTCCCATTTACTCCTTTACAACAACCTCATTGTTTAACATTCGACCTTGAGTGGCACTTGGACCTTAAATTAAGTAAACACTAATACTGTAAATCACCGAGCTACGACAGTCCCGACTTACGACGATTTGTGGTTACGCTGCAATCTCCATTAATCTTTTTTTCGACTTACACCGTTTACTTCGTACATACGCCTCAAACGGCGCGGCGCAAGGATACATTGAGTGACGTAAGAATACGTCGTCATACGGCGCTAGAGTAAGAAAGGTGGTGTGCGTCAGTTTCTGGCTGTAAGCCATATTGGAGACAGGTTTTGGGAATTTGAGATCCGCTGTTATGTTGCAATTTTTCTTTCATTTGGGCCAAAGTTTGGCTTGCTTACGAATTGTTAAGTTGATTACTTTATTTTCTTGAACTTTTCAATTTCTCAGTTTTCTTTTTTATTTTATGCTTGCCTGTTTTTATTTGTTCACTTTATTCTTTCTATACTTTATTTTCTTGTGTCGCTGACCCTCCTCACATTTGTATTTCAGTTTTATTTTCCTTTCGCATTTATTTTAATTGTTGCTTTTATTCGTTTTTTTTTTTTTTTTTTTTTTTGACGTGCTTATTAACTTTAATTTTCCACGTTCTTGACTGATTTGATTTTTTTTTTTTTCTTTTTCTGCATACAACTTTATTTTGTCTTAATTCATTGTTGTTAAAAAAAAATCTAAGGCAAACGTTTACTTGTTCAGCCGTGGTTGGTTTAAACCATCATGGCGGAAAATTTAGAGACATTGACGGTGCTAACGGAAAATTTGTCACCGTCTGAAAAAGTGCCTGGATGGAAAACAGGCCAAAATGGAAAGATTTCCAATAATTCACTATCAGTATAGCATAATGATAAAAGGCCTCAAACTTAATAAAAAAATTTATCGTCATTAAGAGGAAAGAACTATTTTTTAATTATTTTTTTAAAATTTTTCTCTTCTTTCGAACACGTTTTAAATTTGGGTCAAATCTCTTTCTTTTTATTATTTTGTCAACTTTGTACTAGTGGTAATGGACATTTTTGTGTAGCAGTTTCAGTGGGAAAACCCATTAATTTGGAAATTCTTACAAAAATCAAATAATTGTCTGATTTTAATGAAAGTTTCAGGACTTATTCAAAAACGAATGAATTTATTTTTTAAATTTTTTTACAAAATCTTTTTGTAAATTTTTTTTTTTTTTTTTTTTTTTTTTGAGGGTTACGTCTATTACCAAGCCCAAACTTAATTTTATCAAATTTTCTAGAATTTAAAACAGTTTGCAAATTGTTTTACATTACTTATAAGCAGGACTCCTTGGAGATATTAATTTTTTTTTTCCGCAACTACTAACTTTTAAAAAAAATCCGCTCCAAATCGTAAAATAAAAACTGAAATAAAACGATCTAATTAGTCAATTAGGCTTTTACTTCCTTTTATAAGTAATCTACATTATCTGAAGAAAAAAATTCGATAAATAAAGAATTCTTGCAAGAATTGTTTGATTTTTCTTTTAATTTTAAAATGTTTTCAAATTCTTCCAAAGAGAGTATGTAGTAGGTTAAGTATTTAAAGGAAGACTATATTTACTAAGCGAAAATTAAAAGCTTAATACAAATCATGCTACCAAACTTTTTACCGGAATTAGATATTTTTTATACGTCAAAATGTTAGATTTTTTCTTGGTATGTTGTCTTGCAAATGATATTATGGTTGAAAGGTTACATGTTTCAAGCCTTATCTTCAACATGAGGAATGTTCCGTGATTCATCGTCCCTACTTTTCAAGAGTCGTCTTTGAAAATCCTCCCTTGAAGACTTTTTTTTTATGTATTTCAAAAACAAAAATTAAAAAGCTTTCATATTAGCTTTAATTGAAAGGTAAATAAAGACTAAAATAAATTTTATTTACTATTTCCAGTATGCCAACTTTGATTAGTGTTATGTCAAACAGAAATTATTGATAGTAATAAGGGTTTTCCAGTAACAAAAGCGATAAAATCTTGCAATGAATTCTCTTTTCTTTTTCTTTTAAATTTTACAAAATACAATATTTTTCTGAAACGTTATTTACAGAAAATTATCAAATTTACAGTTAAATTAATAATTTGATATTATTTGAAATAATTTTGAAAAATTATAATGCGAACACTGTTACAAAAAAAAATTGAACTTGGTAGAAAGTATTAAAAATTAAATACTAAGAAACATTTTCTTCTTTCCTCTTACTAATAAAACTTCCTTTTGGTTGTGACATTTTTTTTTTTCATCATGCTATTTTTTTTTTTTCAGAGAATTAATGGAGGCAACACGTTGTTCACCATTTTTGTATTGAAGAAAAATGTATGCTCCACGTGAGTAAAATGAATGTTAATTGTAAAATACTTTAGTAAATCTTTAATAGTTAATATAATACTATTAATTAATAAATTAATTAAATAATTAATACTATAATTTAATAAAATTATCCTACTTTTAAAACTAAGTAAGTGGAGGGAGGGTAACAGATTTAAAATAATATTTTTATCAAAAATGAATTTAATTCATATGTCAATAAATCCTGAAAGTTTCAGTAAAATCCATCAATTATATGAATTTGATGTTTTTTTTTTCTTTTAAATTTTCAAATCATTGTGTTGAGTTTCTGGCTTACTTATTTTTATACTAATTTTTAAATTTTCAGATGGAGAGAATAGAAGATATTTTGAAGGAATATAGCAGTGTCTCAACTGGTCAACCAATTTTGTGTGTCCGCATTTTTGAGAAACTTCTCAAAGTATGATTCACTCCAGATATCAAAATGGGTTACCCTTGAAAATGCTAGAAATGGTTTCCCTGAAATTACAAAATCTATAGTTAATAGATTAAAAATGTATTGCAGACTTAATTCAGGATAGAATTTCATAGCATTTGGAAACAAATGCACCCAGTTGGCCCATTCTGTTGATACTACGATATCTGTTGCCACTTCAAGGGCCACCTCTTTAACCGCCACCTCTTCAACCGTTACCACTTCAACAACCACCTCTTCAACGACTACTCCTTCAACCGACACCTCTTCAACCGTTAACAATTCAACGACCAACTCTTCAATGGTTACTCCTTCAAAAGGTTACCACTTCTTCAACCGTTACCATTTTGTTCACCCGTTACCATTTTGTTCACCCGTTACCACTTCTTCACCCGTTACCACTTCTTCACCCGTTACCACTTCATCAACCGTTACCACTTCATCACCCGTTACCACTTCTTCAACCGTTATCACTTCATCAGCCGTTACCACTTCATCACCCGTTATCACTTCTTCAACCGTTATCACTTCATCAGCCGTTACCACTTCATCACCCGTTACCACTTCTTCAACCGTTATCACTTCATCACCCGTTACCACTTCATCACCCGTTATCACTTCATCAGCCGTTACCACTTCATCAGCCGTTACCACTTCATCAGCCGTTATCACTTCATCACCCGTTATCACTTCATCACCCGTTACCACTTCTTCAACCGTTACCACTTCTTCAACCGTTATCACTTCATCACCCGTTATCACTTCTTCAACCGTTATCACTACATCAACCGCCACCTCTTCAACCTGCGACCTCTTCAACCGCCACTTCTTCAACCGTTACCACTTAATCCTGGTGAAGTATTTGAGTCTCTTGCAAAACCCTTTTCACTGCCGACTTATGTAAAATTTTCATCTACTATTTGTAAAGAATTGGTAGAAGAGCTTGGTTTCTTTTCTGATGTGAAGATTTTTTTCTTCTGTGATAAATTCTGAAAATTACACTTTAGTTTTTGATGCAACAACGCAGGAAGTCATGTCAACTGTGTTGTTTTAACAACCCTGTCAAGTTCTCATCTTGTGTCATTGGACCGACTTCCGGGGGTGGGGGAATTGCACTTGACTACAAGCAGCCCCGGTAAACTGTTGTTCCCGTTGGAAAAGAAATGGGAGATGAAAATCATTGAACTGAATTGCAATGTTCATCCACTGGAAGCAACTTCCTCAAAGACAAGGAAAGTCTTGGCAAATGTTGAGAAAAAGTATACACAGATTGCCAATGTTACTGAGTGCCTAGCATGGGAAATTATTGTGGCAACGAATTCCCTCAGATATTAGGGCAGGTCAGCACAGTGAAGGACTTTATTAAAAATAAAGGACTTCCGTTCTCCTCATTCCCTAGATTCTGAGGGAGTCGGCTGCATATAATTTTATGCTAGGTGCAAATTATTTTGCAATCTTTGAAGATTTACAAAAAAATATCTTCAGACTTGAATCCAAGAATGAGATTGTTGACAGATTGAAGCATCTAATCACAGAAGTGGCTGTGGTACAATTTCTAAATCATTAGAAAGATGCCACCTGAGCCTTGGATGAGTACTTTCTATACTGACTTGACAAAACCAAAAAAACTCACCGGCACCATGAACATTGTCTAGGGGGTAATTGAAAAAAATAAGTTACTAACTTTTGTCCTCTCAAAATGAGTTTTTTGGGGGAATGAACTGACAAAAAATGATAGATTCTCTGATAATTCCACCCAGCACCAGAATAGTATTTGAAGAAATGATAACTGCCTGCTTAAAAGGAATTGTGGAAGTATTAAGCAGGCATTTTGAAAAATCATTTTCTACTGTAGAAGCTTCTTCAGAGTCAGTGCCAACATCTGTGAGGCAGCACACCATGCTAGCTGAAAGCGTCATTGGTGAATTCTGTGAAAGAAAAAAAAGCTTGCGCCTAATGCCTATGTCAGCAGCATAAGTGATATCATCAAGACCAAGTAGAATAAAGTCAGAGAATTTATTGATGATCTGTATTCTAAGCAGTTCGCTGATTATCTGAAGTTAGCACACCTACAGCAGAGAATGGATTTTCAAGAAAAAGATTCGACACCAAGAGGTACTTGATGAAATTTTACGACGAATCAAGGTGAAGGATACAAAAGATGAATCTAAGAAGAGAATGAAGATCCAAGCCAAATTAAAAAAAAAAAAGATTTGTCGATTGCTTCTCTGACTATTGAATATTAACAATATGTATATGACGTAAATAAGATACTGACCGGTAACATAGTTGGCTATATCATCAAATATATTTGAATAATTGATGGTCTAAACTATGAATTTTTTGGCTTTATCAACAGTTTTGTAAATCCGTTTTATGAGATATACTATCTCAGTTGTGATAAAGCTGTCAATTGGATATATATGAAATTGGCGTTGACTGTGTTGTGCGGGATTTATTTCTTGAAGCAGCCCATCCTTGATGATGGTTGTAGAGGCAACTGAAGAAAAAAAACGGTCCTTTTCAAGGTCACAAAAGAATTCTGTAAACTCTTATCAGTTATGCATGGTATCATTTTTTTTTTTTCATATAATATTGAAGTACTGGATTATCCTTAAATAAAATAAGTGTACAATTACCTAAGTAATAAAACTTAAGTACATTAATAATTTACTAAATAAAATAACGTTAACAATTCATAACCATCAAAATATAATAAAGAATAAAATTAACAAAAAGATCTTAAAAAACTATAAATTAATATTAAATTATTAAATACCATAACTTTTCAAAGCATAGTCACCTCTATCATTATATTTTATATTATCTTAGTTAAAAATTTAGAGCGAGATAGTTATTAAATTATCTCGCTCTCAGTTAAATTAATAACTGATAATATAATTTTATTAATTATAATTTAATAATTGAGAGAGAGATAGTTATTAAAATATCACCTCACACTTAGTTATTAAAATGATAACAGATAGTAATGTATAGCTCACTTATTAAATTAAAAAGGGAATTGAGATAATATCAAGAAGATTATTATATTTCAGTTATCAATGTTAAAAGGTAATAACTGAGAGTGAGATAATTATTAATAATTAATAATTTTATTAGTTATTATATTTCGGTTATTAAATTAAAAATGTAATAACTGATAATATAATAATTAATAATTATTTATCATTATCTGCCATTATAGCGGTAACTCAATAATTTAAGAAATTTTTATAGTATTTTATTTCTAAATTATTATAAGAAAGCATCTTCAAAATTACCTTTATAAAAATCAATAAAATATTAGATAATTGCTTAAAGTATTTTAAATTTTAAACATTACCTGGTAGTTAAAACAAACCGTTCTTACTTAGAATTCGAATAATTGTATCAATTCTGGTCCACCATACTAAACCTGTCAGCATATTCAGCCATTAAATTATCGATGGAGACTTGAGACAAGCAAGACTCCCTGGTGAAGAAATGCTTGTCTGGAAAATTTTATGGTGTTTGTTTCAAAACAGATTAATTTAACTTTAAATTTTGCTAATTTTACGAAAGTAACGTTTCATAAATCTGTTATTTTAGGCAGGTTTTTTAAAACACAAAATAATCTTTGTTTACATTTCTCTAAAAGAAAAAAAATGGTCGTTTCGATTATTTTTTCAGAAGAATCGAATAAAAATCATTATAATTTCTATTTGAAATACAGTAGAGTGTTTTGCTTTCTGGAATTAGAAAATTTAATCCTTTAGCTTTCAATTGAAGCCGGGGGAAAGCTTCAAAAATGATTTTTCATTTATTAAAAATACCTTAAAATCTTGGGTATACCGAATTTTTAGAGGTACCGAGTTTAGATGCAGTGAATGCAAGAATAATTTCCCTCCGACGTAAAGAGTCAGAAATTGGTTGGGATCAGCAAGGAAACCATGGGAGAGACATTGAAAAATCTCAATATCGCGCCAAGTTTTAGCTAGGAGGTCAAATACTATTTGGGACTTTCTCCTAGCTACAGAGCAGGAGGCGAAGCAACTAACCGGAAGTGTCCTGGCAACCGCAGACGTACGACTCCAGACGGAGTACATGGGTACCCGGCGGACAAAAATTATGGTTCATGGGGTGCCCGTGGACATCTGTCAAGATCGAATAGGAGCCTTCTTTTCTAAGTACAGGCCAGTAGAAGAAGTCAGGAATCGCTACTGGAGATATGGTGCTGCAGGTGACACTAACCAGGCAAGCATTTTGGGGAAATCCCAAATATTATGTCGTGACAAGCCAATACTGGTGGCGGTGGAGGAACGCAGACCATGTTTTTGGTCTTGTGGAGCTTCTGGGCACATGTCCAAGGCGTGCCCAAGTAAGAATATGCAAACTCCACCCCGCCCCAAATTGACGACAACAACAGCCACCACGACAAGAACAGCAGAAGCAGTTGTCACAGCAGCATCGTCAGAGAAGACTCCAGATGATGTCAACAATTGAAAGAAAGGAAAACCACAGGAGCGGCCAAAAGAGGCGCAGCCGAAACTGGTTCAGCGTAGTCCCGGGAAACAGAACAAACAGCCGCAGGAGCGGCCAAAAGAGGCACAGCCAAAAGTGGTTCAGCGTAGTTCCGGGGAGCAGGACAAACAGCCGCAGGAGTGGCCAAAAGAGGCCCAGCCGAAATAGGTTCAGCATAGTCCCGGGAAGCAGGACAGACAGTCGCAGGAGCGGCCAAAAAAGGCGCAGCCAAAACAGGTTCAGCGTAGTCCCGGGAAGCAGGACAAACAGCTGCAGGAGCGGCCAAAAGAGGCCCAGCCGAAATAGGTTCAGCATAGTCCCGGGAAGCAGGACAAACAATCGCAGGAGCGGCCAAAAGAGGCGCAGCCGAAATAAGTTCAGCGTAGTCCCGGGAAGCAGGACAAACAGGCGCAGGAGCGGCCAAAAGAGGCGCAGCCGAAACAGGTTCAGCGTAGTCCCGGGAAGCAGGACAAACAGCCGCAGGAGCGGCCAAAAGAGGCCCAGCCGAAACAGGTTCAGCATAGTCCCGGGAAGCAGGACAAACAGCTGCAGGACCAACCCAAAAAGGCGCAGCCAAAACAGGTTCAGCGTAGTCCCGGGAAGCAGGACAAACATCCGCAGGAGCGGCCAAAAGAGGCCCAGCCGAAATAGGTTCAGCGTAGTCCCGGAAAGCAGGACAAACAGCCGCAGGAGCAGCCAAAAGAGGCGCAGCCGAAACAGGTTCAGCGTAGTCCCGGGACAAGCAGATGCAGAAAGCGTTGCAGGAGTTCCAGAAGACAGAACAGCCCCCAAAGCAACAGCAAGTGCCACAAGAACAGAACAAGCAACCAAACACAGAGGTGGAGGTGAAAGAAATGCCTCCACTTCGTGCCTCATTTTTAAAGAGGAACATGGAGAAAGAAGAATATGACGTACAAAAACCGTCTGGACGAAGCTGAACGGACAAGTTCATAGATAAATCCAGTTTCTTATACGTCCCTGATTCCCCTAAAGAAACTGTCACAGTACCCAAAGCAAGGAGCCTCCCTTCCTCCCCTTCCCGTGCTTTAACACCTCTCCCTCCACATCTTCCCTTGTTCAGTCTCTACACCCCCTCATTCATCCACTTCTTCCCCACTCCTCTTTCACCGGCCCAGAGGATATCTGTAAAATAGATAAATAAGAATTAGAAAAGGTTCTCTAAGCAAAAGAAATCTTTGCTAAATTTATTATTCAAGTTGACCTCAGCTTCGTAGAGGATCCCCGTAATTCCCCGGATGCCCCAGTGGTAATCATATGCGTTGTAGACACTGGGGGCTACCTCAAGGTGTGGAGTCACCTATACGAGGCCAAGGACGCTTTTCCCAACATTAGGATGTTAGTGATAGATTCACCATATTTTAAAAAAACTTTTGTGCTGGAAGGTCCCGGTCATACCCCATCCCTCCTTATATAGTGCAGTTAAATTAATCTATCCCATGGACGTCGGCGGAATTGTTCTGGAAGGACGGATGACGTCAGAGATGGGTACAGGGAGCCTGGGACAATTCGTCGGGGTCCTTTGCGCTACAAATTTCCGCCTGGTATGCGAATAGGTTGACGATTGTTTTCTTTTTCTCGTTTCAGACCTAAAGACTGTCTTTCAAGATAGCCAGTTTGAATGCGAAGGGCCTGAGAGATTGAAGTAAGGCTGCCCACCTGCTTCATGATCATTTGTCTTTCGGAGTGGATTTCGCCGCGATCCAATAGACCCACTTTGTTTGCAATGTCGATGCGTGTGTGCTGTCTAGCGACTTTGTCGTCTATTCAGCATAGGAGGACCGACAGGCCAGAGGGGTTTCTTTGCTGGTGAAGCGTACCCTTGACGCGAGGGTGGACCTTGTTCATGTGGATGCCGAGGGCCGGTTGATCGTGGCTGATATTGCCGTGAAAAATATGTCGTTTCGGATTGTTGCCGTTTATGCGCCCAATGATCAGAAGGGGCGGGTCTCGTTTTTTCGGTAGTTGGGTCCGTTCCTGGTGGATTCAACGCGCCTAATTCTATTCGGGGACTGGAATGCCATCCTTGACCCCATGTTAGCGGGAAGGCGGGCGATCGTAGCTTGGTTGATCTGATCGGCGAGTTTTGTCTCGGCGATAGATACCTGGTCGATCACCATGGCTGTGTGTGTTGGGGGGGGAGATGTGGAGGTGGGCTCTTAATTGGCCTTCTACCCAGGTGATTAGCTACCTGGATAGAATGTTAGCCAGAAGCGCCGAAATAGATCAACTAGATTGTCCCACAATCCACTGGTTAGGCTATTCCGACCACAAACTCGTTTGTGCTGGGTGGCGTTAGATCGTAAGCCTAGAATGGCTGGCTACTGGAAATTCTATCTGCCTTTACTGGGGAGGCAGGACTTCCTGGAGCAGCTAACTAGCGTAGTGCAGCGGGAACTAGTGGGGGCGGTTATCGAGAATAGGTGGTGGGAGAGGTTTAAGGATAGGATTAGGTACGTCACCACCAAGTTTAGCAAACGGCTCGCACTAGACAAGGCCAACAAGGTGAAGCCTCTTAAGCATAGTCTTTCCCGTGCCGAGTCTGGGGGGGATCCCCTAAAGATAGCCCTAGCTAGGGAAGCCCTGGAGCGTTTGGCTAGCAAGCGCTACATGGGTCAGGTAATTAGATATAAGTTAAGCAAGTTGTCTTCCGAATCTGTGAACATGGGCGCAGAATCGCGCAAGGAAGAGATTCTTTGTGGTTCCGAGCGTTACATTCGTAAGAGCAAAACCCTGGAGGGGCGTACTCTTCGGGCCACTGACGACATGTGAGGCGTTTCGGCGGCATTTCGAGAGCCGCTTTACCAAGGAGCATCGTATCTGTGACGAAGAGTTTCGCAGCTATTTGGCTGACTCTTCTCCGCTTTTGCCGACTGAAGCGGCTAGATGCGAGGTTGGGAAGACGGAGGGCGAGGTCTACGAGCATTGTAAAAGGTCGTCAGAGGCAAGTCGTCCGGTGTGGATGGTTTGCCCTATGATTTGTACTTAAAGCTGTTCTGATTTTGACCGTCGTGTTCAGCAACTGGTTCCGCTAGGGGTCCGTTTTCCAGGGGGGTGATCACGCTGTTGAAAAAAGGCAATGTTGTTGGGCGGGATTTAGATTATATAGGGCCATAACTCTGCTAAACACAGAGTTAACGATTCTGGCCAAGATCCTGACGGGGCGTTTGCAGTCAGTTGCCGAGACTTTGTTGGGACCTGAGCAGGCTTGTGCTGTGAAGGGCTGAACATTTCAGAGCAGCCTGCACTATCATAAAGAGTGTAAAAGAGGACGAGCAGGCCACGATGATCAATTTGGATCAGCCCAAGTTATTTGATAGGGTTGACCATCGCTACCTTGCTACTGTCTTGCAGGCCGCCGGATTCGAACGACTTCTGCCGGTGGATTAGCCTCCTGTATCGCTCCCCCAGTGCTGTGGTACAGGTGAATGGGAAGTTGTCGGGTGCTTTTGCGCTGTCTCGGTCGGTTCGTCAGGGTTGTCCATGATCGCCCCTACTTTATGCTTTGGTGTTGGATCATTTCTAGCGCCGGCTGAGGGATGGAGCGTGCAGTCCAGCCGTACGTGGAATCGCTGTCACTAGTGGGGCTCGGGCCAGGGTTTCCGCGTACGCCGATGAGGTGTTTACTTTCGTGTCGTCCCGCAGCGACATTGAGGTAGTACTGAACGGTACGAAAAAGTGACAGGGGCCAAGATTAACCGCAACAAGTCTTCCGGTTTGCAGTTAAGTGCCTGGAAGGGGTCGATATTTCGGAGCCCTTTGGTTGGATGGACGGTCCTGTCCGCATTCTCGGAGTGTGGTTTGGACCCGACTCCCAGCTGGAGAAAAAATGGTCAGAAATACAAAGATCGGCCCGTCGATTCGGATTTGTAGCCGAAGGAGGTTGTCCGTGAAGGGCAGGGCTGAGGTATGTGCCACTTACGTCTTGCCTCTTATTCTTTAATGCTTGTCTGTAACTTCCTCTCTGTAAGTGATATAATAAGGAGATCGAGCGCTTGCTATCCCCCGTTTTGTGAGGGGGACGTAAGCATAAAATCTCAGAGCAGTCTATGTCCAACTTCTGTGTCATGGGGGCGGTGGACTGGGAATGCCGCACTTGGAGAGACACAAACTCGCCTCGAGGCTGGATTCCTGGCGAGAATTGTGACGCCTTCCCTTTCCTCACTATCAGTCCTCCCATCTCGCGAGTTGAGCGTCGTCGTAAACCCAGGGATCAATCGGCTTTAAGGGTCATTCCTCGGTCCAGTGGCCTTTCTCGGCCCAGGAGAGTCTTCTATCGTGAGTGGAGGGGGCCGCGAAGGATCCACTACGTGTGCGGTTCAGCTTGTCGGAGATAATAATGATTTTAGTGATAAACGTCTTACTGCTTAATCCATAGCTGGGGAAAGAGGTGGATTCATACCTTTCCCAGGGGTATTTGCACCTACGTGGATATAACTAACCTAACTGGAATTGAAACTCGGCCCTCAGATTAAAATTTCCAAGTCATTATCCATTACACCACCCGCACATCTATGTAGGTATTGGCCAGGCTCGACGTTGCTTAACATAGGTGATCTTACAAGAACCAGCGTTTCAATGTGATGTAGTGGTAAGCCTATTACACCACCCGTACATCCGTATCTGATATTTCCAAGCGGTCACCTATCTAGGTTGTGACCAGGCTCGACGTTGCTTAACTTCGTGATCATACGGGAGCTGGTGTCTCAACGTGATGTGTCCGTAAAACTTATTACCCGCGCATCCAAGCTTACAGCACCTGAAATTCTCAAGTGATATACGAGCCAATCTTTTAGTATGCTTTCTCTATGACTTCTAATCTAAAACTTTTTCTAATATTTCTAATCTGAAATTTTCACACCTTCATTTTAAATCTTAGAACAGGCACTCCTTTAGCATGTTTTGCTCTAAGAAAATTTGCACACTTCCATGTCTGCGTAATTGGTTCCCCTCAGTTGAGTCCTGTTAGAAAACCGTCCTGACTATGACGATAAACTACATCTGCGCCCTGGTTAAGACGATAAACTGCATACGCGTCCTGGGTAAGACGATAAACTACATACGCGTCCTGGGTAAGACGATAAACTACGTCCAACAGCAAGGCCTCTGATCAGGAGGTTTTGAGGAGCGTGGAACCACCTCTTAATTGCTGGTGTTCCCAGGTCCACCCTGACCCGGGGTGGTAGCCCCTGTTAGGGTCCCAGCTTTGGGCAAATAGTTAACCCCGAAACTGAGGAAAAAACCATTATGAAAGTGTAAAAATAGGTTTTAATACCAGAAATACTTTGTAAAAAATTATTACCAGAAATAAATTTTTGACAAAAAAATATTACCAGCAATACATTTTTTTTAAATTATATTACCAGCTATACATTTTTCAGGAAAAAATGTTACCAGAAAAAGATTTTTGACAAAACAAAAATATTACCAGGAAAAAAAATTTGCTGGCATTAAATGACCCATTGTGCTTGATATGCCGTAAAACAAAACAAACAAATAAAACAAAGCCAGTAATTAATTAAAAAAATTTTTTACGAAAATAAAACCATCCAAGACTACAAATTTCCTAAAAGAAGTTTGATTGTACTCAAAAATATGAATAATTGAAAAATTGTACAAATATATATGTATACATACACACCTTTTTTACCAAACTATCGCTATGAATCTGTTTCAAAATTTTGTTGGCATTAAATGACCCACTGAGGTTTTGATATGCCATAAAACAACCAACCAACAACCTGTTAGAAAAATGTTTTTAGGTTCAAAGGGTGAAGCTTCTGGACCTTTTAATTCAAAAGTTTTACGGATATTATTTTATTACCTGTAAGACTTGATCCATCAAAATTAAAGAAATATATGGTAACAATAACGAAGAATGCCTTCAACCAGCTAAGCATATTATTCGTTAGAAACAAAACGTATTGAACTGTTACGTAATATCAGTCCCCCTATATGGCAGTGAATGCTTTACAATCAATTAGAAGAGACTTGAAGCAACAAAAATGTGGTTCTACAAAAGGATTGTGAGAATACCATAGACCGAACATATGAGCAACGACGAAGTTCTAAAGAAAATGGTAACAAAAGGAACACTTATACTTAACGTCAGGAAAAGATAGTTGAAATTTCTAGGGCACATAATGAGGAGAGAGGTATCGGAAAATATGATACTCACAAGACAAATTGAAGACGGGCAGGGGAAAACAATGTATAAACCTACTTAGTGAGCTTGAGTAAATGGATGGCGGAACAAGGTTTAGGAGAGATAACAGAAAACAAAATTTATTAAGCGCTACAATGGCCAGGAATTTGTCGCGAGCCCTGATGGCCTACTTCCGGAAGGGGCACGACTCATAGAAGAAAAAGAAGAATGATCTGTAAACACAAACACGCCTTCCGCGGTCCAGAAATTATGATCATATTGTAGTATCTGTTCCGCTGCCATGACCAGCTAAGACAAAGTTTGTGCCGCGATTCCTCGCGCTAAATACCAGACCTTGTGCCGCATTCCGCCGCAGTGGGCAAGATGGCGAGGATCAAAATGTGCTATCTGTTCCAGCAGCAACAGCAGGACATCAGCCGCAGTTCCAGCTAGTCAGACGTCCTCATCACCAGCTTTACATCGGCCGTCGCTCCAACTATCTCCAGCAAGCCTCGAGATCCTTCCGCTCCAGCCATCCTTGCCAACGATGTACACAAAACTGCCCCTCTCAGGATATCCGCTCTCTAGGAAACCTGAAGCTGTCCTTCTCTGGACAACGCTATTTCTCACCCTCTATATGAGCTTTTTGCCTAGTAACCACATATTGAACTTACAATTCTTTAGGTCAAGTCACTCGATCCAACTAACCACACGGCCATATGTCCTTGATGACATTAGTGCATGAATTTGGTGGAATTATAAATTTATAAGTATCTGTAAACTTTTTTTTTTACCAGAGCTCATATTGCAACTTTTGTTGTTTTTATTATTACTTTTGTCTAACACTCCGTATTACTGGTTCGCATACTGTATTCGTTGTTGTGAGTTCGATACCTGACTACTGTAGTGGAGAACAAAAAATTGGACAGTTGAGTTAAAGGGAGATAACTGAGACATCCGGAAGAGGCATAGCATAAATATATACCCTGGTGGACGAAATAAAGTGTTCAGTTCGAAATTCCAATCACCTGAAGAAGGCCGGAGCGTACAACGGTCGAAATGTCGTGAATAATGTGAGGACAACAGTCTGAACAATGTAAATAATTAAAATACCTCATCTCAGAAATATATATATATATATTTTTTTTTTAATTATTTTTGTTTTTTGTAATTTTTTTTAACAAAAATAATCTTGGCAATATATTTTTTTTACACAAGTCTTCGTTTTCTTCTTGTTGTCTGCTGTCATTCAATATCTGTTTACGGGTCAATATGCTACCTGCAACACTATCTCCATTATTTGGTTGCTTTCGCACTAACTTTAAAAAGCACACTTCTTAAATGCTTTTCTTCACATGAAGTTGAGTTTTATGAACATTGTTTTAAAATTGTTTTTAGGGGTTGGATTAATTTACAATGAATTTCTATCGGAAACAGTGCGGACCCATGAAGTATCCGACAGAATCAGACCTCACGTGTATATGTAAGCTTATATATTGGATATTCTATTATAAATTAACTGATTTAAAAATATGCTTTCATCGCTACACAGGAATTACCATGTTTCAAAAACAGAAAACAAAAACTTCAAATTTAATTATAATTAAATTAAATGCATTAGTTCTGTTTCATCTTCAAGCGAATTTAGGAATAATTTAACTTTTTAAAATTTTTAGTTTGAAAGCACATACATTCATAATTTTTGTTTCCAAGGATACAGAGAAATCCAATCATTTAGACAGGGGCGGTAGCGTGTCTTTTTATTAACTATTGTTGTATCAATTATGAGTTACGTTCGAAAATGGGTTAAGTCTACGTAGGTGCCTTTTTTCTTTCTTTCTTTTTTATTGGATATTCCTAATGTCTCAATATGTTATTTAAAATTTGAATGAAAAGGTCCTTGAATGTTTAATTTAATAATTAAAAAATCACGTAAAAAAATGCAGAAAACAATCGTCGTAATGAAAACTTGGGAATCCAAAATTTCAAGATCGCAGATCCGTTTTTAATTTGCTCACGGATCCGGCCTGATTCCAAAATGATATGATATTTTGGGCTATGGCCTCTAGGAGTAAAGTTGAAAAACTGTGACACAGTGACACACTGACATACTCATTTACTATATAGATATAGAATATGTGACCGTAGCATTGTTAGAAAACATTTTTTACGCCTTAATTTATCTTCGTATACGATCTCCGATTTTGGCGCAAGCTTAAAAAAAAAACACCCTTCTTAAGACTTTCTATGGGATACTAGGACTCTGTAAGTATGAAATCTATCAAATATACGACTGTATCATTGTTAGAAAATGTCTATTTAGAGGTTAGATTGGTTTACAATGAGTTCCTATAACAAACAGAACGGACCCATAATTTAGTGAATGACCCACGAGAAATAGATCTTTCTTGTACTTATAAGTTTATATATTGGATATTATTAATATCTCTATTTGATGTTTAAAGTTTGAATGAAAAGGTCCTTGAATTTTTAATTTATTTATGAAACTGGGAATTTGTACACTTTTTAGATAAGAGGTCCTTTATATATATATATATATATATATATATATATATATATATATATATATATTTATATTTGTCCGCTGGATATTTTTCAAGGATTCACAAATTTGTGGTCCCGCGTTGACGTCAGAAAAAACACGATTTTAACCAAGAAAAAGATTCTTTTACATCAAAACATTTGCCTTAGAAATAATATATATATATATATATATATATATATATATATATATATATATATATATGTACACACTTTTAGTCTTATTTAACCAACTCCGAATTTGAATAAGACTAACGCACTTCGCGTTGGTTGAAATAGATCTATAGCCCACATATTAGATAATTTTCGATTTCGCTGTGTAATTCATATGCTTTGTTATAAATAAATACATTGTGCTCTTTTTGTGGATCAGTTTTAATATTTATTATTACTAGTATTCACTTGGATTATATACCTACGGATTTATTACCTGTACTATATATATATATATATATATATATATATATATATATATATATATATATTGCATAAGAAAATCCAAAATTACCTCATATATATATATATATATTGCATAAGAAAATATATATATTGCATGAGAAAAAAATCAAAATTACCTCATATGTTGATCTATACAATCTATTTTAACCGACAACAACTACGTCAGTCTTATCAATCCGGTGTATAAACTTTCTATACAGCGGGGTTGAATAAGACTGACGTAGTTGTTGGTGAAAATAGATCTATCCGCCCACATATGAGGTAATTTTGGATTTTGCTGAGTAATTCATATGCTCTGTTATAATAAATTCACTGAGCTTTTTTAACAGTTTTAATATTTGATATTTCTAGGATCCACTTGGATTATATACCAACGGATTTATTATATATATATATATATATATATATATATATATATATATACAGAGGGAGAGAGAGAGAGAGAGAGAGAGTCATTCCACAGACAGACTGTTTCGCTGTATCACAGCATATCAGTGTAGCTAGACGTCCGTTTGCCTCTAGCTAAGTTCGAAACCCGACTGAATTGGCGTCAGTCAATATGTATATACAGTGTAACCCGGATATAAGAGAGTTGTCGGGACTAGAGAATAAGTATCTTATATCCGGTTTTCTTATATCCGGTTTTGGTCTATTTTATATACATTAACACAGGCTCTAATTTGGGACCAGAAAATCTTTTCTTATATCCGGGTTTCTCTTATATCCGGGTCTCTTATATCCGGGTTACACTATATATATATATATATATATATATATATATATATATATACACTTCCTAACTTTGAGACGACTCCCTTGCTGTAGACATGAGTAAACTGAAAAAATGTCCGATAATATGTATGTGTGCGTGTGTGTAATTTTATGGTTTGTTGGATTATGAACATTTAAAAAAAAAAAAAAAAGGTGCGGCCCAGGTTAATTTTCTTTACAAAACGAGTCCCGCTTGTAAAGAATGACTGCGTCAATTGAACATTTATTCTCCCTTTACGCAATTTAGAAAGACATTTGCGCCTTTTTGTATATTGTTGCTTTTGCCGGCAACGAACTGATTTCCTACGCTTCATGTATTGCGTGATTATATGGACGCTCATCGGCATCTGAAGTCGAGTCAACTTCAAAAGACAAGGCGTTGAAAATCGTTTTTTTTTGTTTTTTTTTTTTACTTTTATTTCTTTTCTTCTTTTGTTTTTCATCTCCCAGTCTTTTCTCGTCTTCTATTCAATAAAAAAAAAACACACACACACACACACCAAAAATTGGTGTGAAACTGGTTTTGACTCTCGGTTGTATTATAGTGCAGCCGTAGAGACGCTTCGTACAATGACCGGAACACTCTCGAGCCTAAAGCAACCAAATCGGGAATAAAGAATTGTGATGCATTGGAAAGAATGATAAATATCTATATACTTTTTTTTAAAATCATTGCACCCCAAGCAATAGCAGTACTAAGCAGGGGGTTACAGGGAATGAAAAATGAAAAGAAAAACGACTGAGAATATAGGAGGATTGAGAAAAGCTCAAAAGATGGACAGAATTCAAAAAGACGATGTCGATTGACGCTTTATTTAAATTTTTGAAAATTGTAGTTATCAGAGAAGCAGTGAAACTGAAGAGTGTTCCACAGGCGGGAAGTGCGAGAAAATAAACTGTTGGAGTAGAAGTGGCTGTTGCATTCAGCTATTTCAACACTATAAAACAGTGGGACCTAGATGCCAATCTAGCAGCATACTTAAATTCGTGTAGTCAGGCCACGAGGGATAAAAAAAAAAAAAAACTTGTCAGAGCAGTTGCCATAAAATATTTCTAGAAAAGTCAGAGGGAAGCCACATCACATCGGTGCGAAAATGAATGAAGTCGAGATGCCAGGTCAGGATCTATTATATTGCAGATTCTTCTTTGGATTTTGTCTCGAGATGTACAGCAGGAGCACTAGACCAGATATGGCAAAAGTATTCAATGCACGAACAAATGGTAGATTTGTAAATGTATCTTAAGACATAACTCGTAAGTGGAATGAAAACGAAACGAAATATAATCTATGACGTAAATTATTATGATGAATATTTATAATAACAATATTGCCATTAAACCACAAATTAAAAGAGAAAAAAAAACAAAAAACAATCTGTAACGATATTTTTAACGAACAGAAATATAATACCGAGATAACGTACAAAGTCATGAGCACATTCAATACATGAAAAATAGCCGATAACAACTGTTATTAAAAATTCTCCCAAATCAGAACCTATCATATTGCAATTCTTATGCCTATTTATTATGTAGTGAGCGAAACATAGGATTCAGTTCGACATTCCAACCACCTGAAGAAGGCCGGAGCGTACAACGGCCGAAGCGTTGTAATAAATATAGCGACAAAGATGAGGACAATAGTCGAAATAATGTAAATAATGTCATAAATAATTGTAGCAATTTTTTATTTTTATGTTTAGTGCAAGTATTTTTTTCAAGTTAGTTATATCATAAAACGTTTCTAGCAAAGCAAAGGTCACATATTCGATATATATATATATATATATATATATATATATATATATATGAAGAAATATAGTCTTAAGGTATGCTATATTTGTGGGATAAAGTGCTCAATATCAGAGATAGAGCGTGTGTAAATATAATAGTGAACATAGAAAGTCAACACTTAGGGCGACAGTCTGTTTGATGCTATATGCAATCGTCAGGCCTGACGATTGTATATGAAACACACTGTCGTCTCTAAGTGTTGACTTTGTGTTCACTTTTATATATATATATATATATATATATATATATATATATATATATATATATATGTGCGATGAGAACGAAAGTAATATATAAATTCAACGTTCGCAGCATTAATCCAAAAGAGGCCCGATACCGGCAGTAGAATGATAATTATTTATTTGTTATAATTTTATCATATGGACAAAACCATTTTACTCACCTCCTAAGATACAACGTGAAGTGCTGTTGAAATGCACTGAAACGAAGTTGCATCTTTGTAGTGAGTAAACTGTTTTTGTCTATATGATATTATATATATATATATATATATATATATATGAAGAAATATAGTTTTAAGCTGTGCTATATTTATGGGATAAAGTGCTCAATATCAGAGATAGAACGTATATATATATAAAAGTGAACATTAAAGTCACCACTCAGAGGCGATAGGATGTTTCATGCTAAACGCAATCGTCATGCCGCCTGACGAAATAGATCTTTCTTCGATTTTAGTTTAATTTGGGTTTTGAAGAAAATAATCCATCATAATCCATCTTCGTATATCGTCTACGTTGTTTGTTTACGTTTTGCCACAAAACCTTACAAAAGCCCCTTTTTATGTCTTTCTTCACATAAAGTCGGGTCTTAATGGACTTCTTAGATATGAAATATATCAAATGTAGGACAGTAGCATTCTTAGAAAATGTGTTTTAGAAAGTTGGATCAATTTACAATGAATTACTAGCAAACAGAGCGGACCCATAAACTCGTATTTCAACGCGACAGAAGCCGATCTTTCTTGTACATTTAAGTGTATTCATTGGATATTATTATCAATATTTCAATTTGACATTAAAATTTAAATTAAAAATTTATTGAATTTTCAATATTAAATTTATTTCTTTTTATATAAGTACCTCCATAGTTTCGCGATGTCTAAGGTTTAAAAAAAATGAAAAATCTTGAAGCTTTTATATTAATTTTAATTTCAAGCTCATAGATTAAATTTAATATTTCCAATAAGCAAAATTCTTTGATGTATTTCAAAACTAATTTAAATTAATTGGAACGAATTTGTTTCTTAGTTTTTTGCTAAAAACTCATAATTCAGCGCCATTTTTAACCCACGTTTATCGCAATGTAAGTCACTTTATTACAAAATCCTCCAAAAATCAATTATATTTTTTTGAAAGTTTATTTGAGGAATATTAGCTGATTTAATTTTTAATTAATCTAATTTGAAACAAATGCTTTTTTTTACTTTAAGTTTAAACTATCACAGAAGTGCATTTTTTAACACGGTGGTAGCTGTTTATTTAAGTTGTTGATGTGTTAGCAATTTGGATGTTTATCTAATGTTTTTCTACCGGGCTTCATCCGTAAAAAATAATTGAAGAAAACAACATGAGAACCTTTTATATATATATATATATATATATATATATATATATATATATATATATATATATAAGTTCTCAGTAATTTTAAAAATTTAGAAAAAATATTGTCTGTATTCTAATGTTTTATTGAATTTTTAGATATTTTGGCTTTAAATTTTGGAGTTATCGCCCTTTCTGGTATAAATATCGTCACGTTTATACACATCAGCCATGCGTGATACATTAGACGATCATTATCTTTTGATACATGACTGACGAAGCAGATTTTTATTTTTAGGTTCCATTTCTTTCTGCGGTAAAAATTGTGAACAAACCGGGTTCTATAGCCTATCCAAGGCTTTAACCCATTTGTTCCTACTACTTGATCACCTTGATGAAGAGGATTCAACACCTTTTTCAGAGTATTAGCACGTAAGAATGTAATGGATTCGACTGGAATTCGAACTCGGCTCCTCCTTACTTACAAAAATAATAATTGAAGATTGTTAAAAATATTGGTGCTTCATTATTTTTACTTATCTTTTTCATTTAGGATTAGTAAATATATTTTTTACTTAACAATAATATTGTCTAATGCAATGCAGAATTTTAAAAGTTTTTTAAACTATAAAATATTCTAATTAAAAAAATTTTCAAATGAATTTTTAAAAATTTATTATTCTTGGGATTTTTTTTCTTAAAACAATAGTGTGCATAATATATGTTATCCATAAAGGAAATTAAAGGCTTTTCTAATTAAAGGTTTTTCTAATTAAATATCGTCTTAGTTTTATTCCAGTTTTTATTTTACGGCTCAGAGCAGATTTTCGGTAATTGGCATTTCTCTTTTCCAAAAAAGATTAACTTAAATTCTTCACGGAGTTCTGCTTTTAACTATTATAATCACTAAAAATTATCTCATTGAATTTTTCAAGGTTTTATAAAATTAAGAAAGAGGTGTGGAACACATGTAAAATATATTTTTGTCCCCAACAAATGACTTCAAATATAATTTAATTCATCTGTGATTAATTCCTGAAAGTTTCATTAAAATTTGACAAAGATTTAATTTTTGCAAGAATTTCCGAATCAATTTGTCTACCATCGCAAAAAAGATGCTAAAATTTGCCATGCTAATTGATAGTCCATCCACTGTCGTAAGAAAAACAAGATTTTTAATCAAAATTTTGAATGTTTTAAAAAGGATTAAAAATATTAAATAATTAAAAAAATATTTTGGTCTTTCCTCTTAACAATAAGATAAAGATTTTGACGATAAAACATTGTTTTTATCAAGTTTGGGGCATTTTTTCATCATGGTATGCTCTTTTTTCAACGAATTACTGGAGGTACCTACTTTTTATATATGGAACTTTTATTTAAGAGGCTGTTATTTTGTCCACTGGTTTGTCGTGAATTCTATACAGATACAGCCAAAGTGGATGCGTTTTTTTTTTGTTTTGTTTTTTTCCGAAATGAAAACACAAAAATACGCTAACTGCTGCCCAAAATTGGGGAATTGTCTAAATCTTAATTTAAATTTTCAGAAACTATTCATGAATGAATTAAGTGCGTACTCTATATTTTATTACAAAACGTTGTAGAAATATTTTGTTTTGGAATAAGTTGCCCCCACCCCCACCCATTTTGATGGCGGGATGACAACTTATATTTTGAATACATTTAAAATTAGGCGGAAACGATATCAAAATTTTCAAATGAAAAACCTCTGAAGATACATTCTGAGTAAAAGTTTGTTGCAATATCAAATCTTAAAATCTTGAAAAATTGTCCTGAATCCTTGTAAATATAATGCACTAAGACTCAAAAATAATTTTTGTTGAGTGTTGGATTTTCCTGATTTCTTAAATTTATTGTGAAGCTTTATTGTGAGTTCAAAATTATTTCTTTGGCTCATAAAATAAATCTATTTTCATCAAATAAAGACCTGTTTGAAGAATCAAAAATGTAAACGTTGAAGCCATTTT